CGCTACAGAAGGGTTACTTTTGCACTGCAAAATGGAAGGAAAGAATGATGTCACATCAAGATCGCTGTTCATTGATTACAGCCCAATGTAGCAGCGATGAAGTCCCGCCCAAAAAAGCGCTATGTAGCACGATAAAATGTGCATTGTCGCTCAATATCGCGCAATGTAGTTCAAAGCCGTTCAGCACGAAATCGCGCGGAAAAACGCGCAATACCCATGTCGCTCAGTGTGAATGGGTCCTTAGGGGGTTATTCACAAAGCTGCCCGAGGCAGCCAAGTGAATAAACCAGCTGAAGTGAAGTAAGCCGAACAACGTTCGGCTATTCACTCCGGCTCAGTACAGCTGATTTCAGCCATACATCGGCTGCCTTCGGTCAGAGGGACTTCGACTCAGCCGATCCAACATCTGGATCGGCTGAGCCAAAGCTCTGGCAGTTCACTCGCTGCCGTTCGCCCAATTCTCATTCGGCTCGGCTATTCTGCTCGGTGACTCCGGGTACTAAGCAGAAAAGAAAATAAGTGAGTTGAAAGATGATTTAAGAAATCAATAGGAAAAGTAAAACAAAATTTAAAGAGTTTAAACAAAAGAAAATTAAAAATAATAGAAAAAAACGGCAGCAAAGGTGTTGGCAAAAGAAAAACGATTGGGTCGTGCTAGCAGTGACAGCTAGCTCCGCCCAACTGTTTTCTATTGGCCGGCAGTTCTGCTGCCGTCAAAAAAAAGAAAAAAAAATTTCGCCATAGGAATGCATTGCTAGATTCCTATTGGCTATTTCAATTTGCAATAGCCAATAGCATACTAGCTATTGCACCCGCCCTCTGCTGCTGTCAATCACTAGTGGGGACCTGATGGAGAACTGCAGCAATGGGCAAGCACTATAGCTAGTTTGCTATTGCATATTGAAATAGCCAATAGGAATCTAGCAAGGCATTCCTATGGTGAAAATATATATTTTTTAATTCTGACGCCAGCCAACGGCTCCTTATCAGAATATAAAAATCTGAGGGTTTAATGTCACTTTAAGGCTGACCATTATGGTTAACGAAGCAGCCGAAGGATCTAGCTGTAGCTTTGGCTGATCCTTTAAAGGTTTGAGCCTAAACATTTAAATACCAGTCACATGAATTCTAAAATTAGACACATTGTACACCCACAAATGTGGGAGGCAATACCCCTCAAAAATATAGGGGCATCAAAGTATGAGATAATTAGAAAGTAAAAGTCACAGCAAGATAGATCACAATGTGTCCACATTATCTAACTGAAAACGGAAGAAAGCTTTGGACATAGTACTTAGCAAGCACAGGCCTTTTAGTTACTTCCTCGTTGTTCTCAAATAGAACACACAATTAAAGTTCAATTAATGTTTGCCTACATATTAAAACTGCTCATATTCCATCCTTTAATACAATAACACTCATGCTATTTGATATTCTTTCAGGCTGTTTTCCTGTGCAGCTTGTACTAGTCAAGGTCCTTGTGACCAGTAACACTGAGGAAGCAAATTAATTTATTTATTAGTGTACGCAATACAAATCCAGAAGGACCAGCATTCTCTTTCCTGAATGTCTTTTATCACATTGTCTATACTTTTCCACATTTCTGACCACAAGATCAAATTTACAGGTAATGAACAACATCCGGGAATGAATCCTACTGGGTTTAAAGTAAACCTAGCCGGGCAATTCACACTTAGCATATGAAGGAATATCATAGCCAAACAAATTTGCAGAGCCATTCGTCCTGCCAAACTGCTGTGTACATTCATTTTGTGTGAATGGGGCAAATAATTAACTTTATTAACATATTTTCTTTCCAGGTGGGATGAAATATCAGGAAAATACCGATTTATGGCCACAAGATGGAAACGAGGATCATCAGTATTTTCCTACTGATTGTGTAAATGGGCCTTAAGAAAGGTGCTACAGTGCTATAGCACAGCTGAGCTTACCTGTGCACCCCCTTCTTTTTCACCTTTGTACCCCACCCCTACGTACCTTTGCACTCTAAACCCTAGTTACATAGTATTTGAGGTTGAATAAAGACATTAGTCCATCAAGTCCAACCTATTACAACCTACTTCTCAACTTTGCACCCCCAAACCCTAAGATGAGCTGGGTGAGGAGTTTGCAATGCAAAAATGAGCAAAAGGGGAGCAAAGAAGTGGGTTCAGAAGTAAGGAGAGAGCGGGTGCAGCTGTGAGCAGAGAGGGGCTGGATAAGGATGCAAAGTATAGTGGAGGGAGGGATATTGTAAATACCCCTTAGATTGGTGGTCTGTGTAGAATCCCCCCCTACATTGGTGGTCAGTGTAGAATGGCCCCTTACATTGGTGGTCATTGTAGAATGGCCCCTTACAATGGTGGTCAGTGTAGAGTCCCCTTACATTACATTGGTGGTCAGTGTAGAATCTCCCCTTACATTGGTGGTCAGTGTAGAATCCTACCTTACATTATATTGGTGGTCAGTGTAGAATCCCCCCTTACATTGGTGGTCAGTGTAGAAGTTACCCCTTACATTGGTGGTCGGTGTAGGATCCCCCCTTACATTGGTGGTCAGTGTAGGATCCCCCCTTACATTGGTGGTCAGTGTAGGATCCCCCCTTACATTGGTGGTCAGTGTAGGATCCCCCCTTACATTGGTGGTCAGTGTAGGATCCCCCCTTACATTGGTGGTCAGGGTAGAATCCCCCCTTACATTGGTGATCAGTGTAGAAGTTACCCCTTACATTGGTGGTCGGTGTAGGATCCCCCCTTACATTGGTGGTCAGTGTAGGATCCCCCCTTACATTGTTGGTCTGTGTAAAATCCCCCCTTACATTGGTGGTCAGTGTAGAATCCCCCCTTACATTGGTGGTCAGTGTGGAAGTGACCCCCTTACATTGGTGGTCAGTGTAGAATCCCCCATTACATTGGTGGTCTGTGTAGAATCCCCCCTTACATTGGTGGTCTGTGTAGAATCCCCCCTTACATTGGTGGTCTGTGTAGAATCCCCCCTTACATTGGTGGTCTGTGTAGAATCCCCCCTTACATTGGTGGTCTGTGTAGAATCCCCCCTTACATTGGTGGTCTGTGTAGAATCCTCCCTTACATTGGTGGTCTGTGTAGAATCCCCCATTACATTGGTGGTCTGTGTAGGGGAAGAAGGAAAGGAAAAGAGAGTAGGATGTAAGATAGCCAAACGAATGAGGTTAGGTATATATAACACATTTCAATATCATTGAATAGAATTATATTTTGGAATCCAGAGTTTCCAGGTCGAGTCAAAAAAAGACAATTTACCTTCACGGATTGCCATTATTCTTTTGTATTTCTAATGAGTTTTACAGATTGTTTCAGAGATGTTGGGGGAGTGTATAGTTCTCCAATGATGCATTATAGTTATATGTATGATAACAGTACGGATTGGAGAGGGAAATTCTTCATACCCAGAGACAGTGTGGCTAGATCAGGGTTGAGGGATGTGAGGATACCCGTGACTTCAGAAATTAATTGGAAGACTTTTCGCCAGAAATAATTGACGTTTTTACCTCGTCTCTTTACGTGAATGCCCTTTCCCTAAATAAAGTACATTCTCCATCTAAAATGACACCAAAAAAGGTGTCCCTGGAAATGTTTTTAAATGATGGCAACTATGGGGGGGTGGAATTTCCCCTTCATGTTGTTGGGATGAATGGAGGTATCAAGATTTTCTTCTCAGTCAGCCCACGTCGCTGAAAGAAATCAAACTAAAAGGGACTGCTGTATAAACCTTCCACCCAGTACAAAGCAGGTCGCAAGGCATTACGGCCACTAGATGGTGCCAATGAGCATAGGAAGGTTTATACATTGGCCCCAAAGATTCCTCATAATGGAACTAAGCCAGGGAACCAATATGCCTTTAACCCTCACAGACATTGTCCAAATGCTATAAGAGGTCAGGCTTTTTTCACCCAACACATTAAAATAAATGTAAAAAGCCTGTAGCCCATTAGTAAATGTTCTGGCCGCAGGACTCCTCAAGTCTTCCGCAATCTCTTTCCTTTCTTTCTGGCAAAACACCTTCTGACTGGGTAGAACTGTTAAAATATCTAAATAACCATTTTCTTTTTCTTTAAATCGGAACTACACCCTCCTATCCTTTACAGCCAAGGAATGTGCCATCTTAGCTTCTATTTCAGGGGTGGGCAAACTCCAGTCCTCCAGCTCTGGTACAAATACAAAGCCCATGAGGCATTGCAAGACTGTGACAGCCACAGACATGACAGATGCAAGATGGGATTTGTAGTTTCACCACAGCTGACGTTTGCCCACCCCTGCTCTTTTTGGATTGCAGTTGCCATGGTCCTGCACATGTGATCAGCTATGACACCAGCCATATGACGGCTTGAAAGTTTGGTTGAGAGCTGAAATAAGCACGCTGACAGTTCTCATGCCTTGAAAGTTTACTGTTTTGGGAGATATTCATTTGGTGGGTAAAGTTTTCTTAACTGATAAATGAAAACCTGGAGGAGAAATGTGATAAGTTAATGATTCTCTGTAATAACTTTCTGTTGTCTCTGGTCTAATCACAGGCGTGCAGCAGACGTGCAGGAAGGGGTTAACAGTGACTGAACCTGGGAATTATGAAGAGAATTATGAAGAGTTCCTAAAACGTCAGTGACTGAGGTAGCAGAACATAAACCCTGGAAACCTTAAAGTGTATTTCCACTTTTGCAGTCAAATTTGAGAAAACCCCTCTATATGTTCTACAATTACATGGTGGGGGGGGGGCGATAGAGATGGAGGGGAAGTCAGAAGTTGTGACAGCAAAGACAAATCTAACATAGCTTCTCTCTCCCCCTCCCCTCCCCCTTCTTCCTTCCTGCATTCACCAAGTGCAGAAACAGCTCCAGATTCCTGACCAATAAGGGGTGCATGGTCCTGGAGCAATGTGGGGGTGATAGCAGCTTCTGCTCACACAGCCCTCCCGAACAGGATCAGGTTGTCCCGATCTCCAGCTTCCATTGGAGACATGACAGGAGGAAAGTAGGAGGGGACGGGGCGGTCTCTGAGCTCAGCAAGCCAGTTCCTGAATGATATAGAAGAGCAATACTCTGCAGCTGTCAGTGTCGCCACCATGCTGGGTACCTGGGGGGCTCTGCTGTATGGATGGATCGGGCTGACACTCTGCCAGGTTGTGCTCAGCTCCCCGCCACATATCGTATTCATACTGGCCGATGATCTGGGTTGGAACGATGTCGGCTTCCATGGATCGGAAATCAGAACCCCGAATCTGGACCGGCTGTCCGAACAGGGGGTGAAGCTTGGGGGGTACTATGTGCAGCCCCTGTGCACCCCATCCCGGAGCCAGCTGATGAGTGGCAGATACCAGGTCAGTGCTGCACTTTATTCACCATACACACTACAATCTGACTATACAATCAGCTTTTGATTTACCAAAACTATGTTATTTAAGGACTTATCTAATCTATACAATCAGTTTGTGTACATCCTGGCAGACCCTTGCTCTACATAGTTGTTGGGAGATCTAAAGGAGATTGTAATGTGTGTGATGAGCTTTAAACTGACTATACAATCACATTGGACAATCTCCTTTTAGGTCTACCATCAACTATGTATTGAATACAAATTGAAAGGCTTAGGTGTGTTCTTATATCACATTTATACAGTTTTTCTGC